GTTCACCCTTAATCCCCAGGCAGTCTGGAACTTAAACATCTTCCATGCGGAAGTACGAACTGGACTACATCTTTATAGAAGCATTGCAGACTAGATGCAGCGGTGCGCTAAGAACTAGCTCTCCGACCTGGAAGAGATAGGAGCATTGCATTCCAGAATGGAAACCCATAATGTCCGATGGTACATAGGATGGCTCTGTAATTGTTCCGCAAAAAGTGGAGCATCTTCCTTGTTGATTTAGTAGGGTAGATGTTCGTAGAGTATGTTCTCTCCTTCCTCCTTTCTCTTTCCTTAGGAATACACTTTTTTTTTTGTCTTGTCTTTTTTGGTATTGAAGATCGAACCCAGGACATCATACTTGCTAGGCAAGTGCTTTGCCACTGAGCTACATCCCAGCCCAGGAATACACCTTTTTTTTTTTTTTTTTTTTGCCGGTCATGGGGCCTGAACTTGGTCTGGGCGCTGTCCCCCAGCTCTTCAGCTCAAGGCTAGCGCTCTGCCACTGGAGCCACAGTATCACTTCCGGCTTTTTCTGCTTATGTGGTACTGAGGAATCGAACCCAGGGCCTCATGCATGCAAGGCAAGCACTCTACCGCTGAGCCACCTTCCCAGCCCCAGGAATACACTTTTGATCAGAGTAGAACCTCTTAGGTAAACGTGGATTTGTAGCCACACCAGAGGATTGTGATGATAACAGCCCAGATGAATGACTGGTTTGCCCATTCATTTTGTTCTGTTTTAAATATGAGCTTGCTATAAAGTAGTCATGGCTGTGGGAGGAATATTTATGTTGTGACACTAATTATTATTTTTAATTTTTGCCAGGCCTGGGGCTTGAACTCAGAGCCTGGGCACTGTCCCTGAGCTGGTTTTGCTCAAGGTTAGTGCTCTACCACTTGAGCCACAGAGCCACTTCCGGCTTTTTTCTTCTGTGAATGTGGTACTAAGGAATGGAACCCAGGGTTTCATGCATGCAGCCCTAATTCTTATTAATAAACTTATTGTAGTGGACTTTGGGATCTCTTCTTTTCCACCATTATTCAACTAGTAGAACAATAGCAACCAGAAGAGCTAATGTTTTTTGGCTGCTTATCGATGGGCCAGGCATGTGGGTTTCTTCTTAACACTCACATTATGTGGTGGTATGTGTACTATTCACACTGCTCAGATGCAGAAACACACTTAGAGCTGTGAGACAAGGTATGGGAGAGGACACAGCTGGTGAGCAATCCAGGTGGCATTTGGATACAGACAATGTGCCTTAACCACTAAGCCACAGTGCTCCCTTTAATGGTGCTCACCATTGATCTCCTGCCTTCTAGAGGATTTTGTAATTCAGTTGTCCTTAATTCCTTACCAGATGCAATACAATTTTAGTTAAGTAGTGAGATTTTAAAATTTTAGTAACAAAAGGAACAATCACAATCATAGATTTTGTGTGGATCCTAAAGGTTTTAGTAGCCAAAACCTACCTTCAGATGGTTGAAGGAACTCTGGTGAGTGTGCTACAAAGGAGGAAGAATTCACCATGAAGATGTGAATGGTGAAAGAATTAGGTGTGGACTGTTTGAAGCTGAAAGAACTTGGACAGATTTGTAATGATTTCATTGGCAGATTTGTAGTGATATATATATATATTTGCCTTAGTGCTGACCAATATCTGATGGTATCGGAATACCTGATGGTATCCGTAGAAGGAAGTGAATAGAATTGTTCATAGGGAAGATTAGTTCTTTCCCTTATCAGTAGCGAACAACAAAAATCAGCCAACTTTGATATTCCAAAAGTTTTAAGCTGTATGTTATGGCACCTAGGCTGGGTGATTAGATCTGTTTGGCTCTTTTAGGGCCCTTCATTGAGCTGAGGACTTTGAACTTTAAAAGTAGTGCACACAGGTCTTATGACCTCAAGAATTTGAGAACCATTGCTTTATACTCAGCATGAACTATTTTGTTAGTGTTTATCAAAAGCAAGTGATGTTTTCTGTTATAAGAAAAACTAAGCAATAATGGGTTTTCACTGTAGAAGAGTAAGATGTTGTGATGTTAACCCAGTATTTTTGTGGTAGCTCTTTGTATTGACACATGCATATTTCTAACTGATATAAGCTGGTTAAACATTCAGATCTTTGAGATGAACTTTGAGACAGTAATTGACAAAAATTCCGGCTGGTAGTACTTTGAAATTCATTGCAGATGTGTGAGGCAAGTAGTAATAGAATGTTGGAGGAAACACTTTTAAAGGACTGCTTATTTATTTATTTTTGTCATGGGGCTTGAACTCTGGGGCTTGGGTGCTTTCCCTGAGCTCTTCAGCTCAAGGCAAGCACTCTACTACTTGAGCCACAGCACCACTTCTGGTATTCTGGTGGTTCATTGGAGATAAGAGTCTCAAGGACTTTCCTTACCTGGGCTGGCTTTGACCTGTGATCCTTAGATCTCAGCCTCATGAGTAGCTAGGATTACAAGCGTGAGCCACAGGTGCCCAACAAGCACTGTTTCTTATTCACTGCCAAATTATCAAAAGCTCAGTGTTAGACTCTTATTTAAATATTGGATCAGTCTAGGAAATACCTAATGCAGTTATGATCTAGGTAAATGTTAAATTTCTTTTCTCAAAAGGAGAAAGTGATCACATCAAAAAAAAAAATCATGGTATAAAATTGTTTTGAAGGCTGGGCCCTGGTGGCTCACGCCTGTAATCCTAGCTACTCAGGAGGCTGAGATCTGAGG